TTGATATTATAAATATTTTCTAAAAATAAGTTACATCAAAGGGTAATCGTTATGTGATAGAAGATGGCAGAAACAATATTCGTGAAGTTACGGGAATGCCAACGAGAATGCAATGGAATGAGCGGCGCAACGTACGGGGGTTAATAGCGATCAATTCGATTCATTCTCACCATAGGAACTCCGTTTCCTATTGATTTAACACTACCATCACGTACTAAAAATATCTGAGGTGTGCATGACTATGAACCCTACGTATGTACAGGATGATTGAATGAAATTTTCCAACGACAGAAAAAAAGTATATATCTAAGTTAATGCAGTGTATACCATATCTATACATGGAAGTTGTATTATTATAGTCTTTGAATCATTAATTATTGAGTGAATTTAAAGATAGGGATGAACTACTCGCTGATGAGCACGAAATTGCGAAACGAGCGATCAGATTCGTAGAACTTCAACAATATTTACGCACCGGAAAGTCAAACGAAGCGTGAAATCAGGTCGTCGTATAGCAACGTGAAAAAAATTCCGCGAGCGGAATGGATCATGGACGTGTCCCACGTTAGTTAGTGTCATAATTGATCGGCAACTTGAGCGATGACCAGTTGTAAAATCCGAAATTGTCCAACGCGAAAATCAATTTTATTCTGAAACTTCGAAATTGCTATTTGTTTTTAAAACTTCTCACTCTCGTAGTCGTATTCTTCGACCATTAACGTGAAATAAAAAACTTTTAAAACTTTTAAACTTAAGAGTGCATTACTCTCTAATATCATGTTAGAATGACATAATAATAAGTATCAGAAATTATATTTTTAATTTCTGATTCCAAGAAAGTTAGTTTTGCTCACGAATGGATTGTACAATTTTCATGAGCTTCAATCACGTAATCGCGTGATAAGAGATCTCTGTCTTAGTCCTGTGGTATCCTCCGTCTTTATTGTGGCATTTATTATGATCGGCTCATCCTCAATAGTGTCGTGACATCGGCGATAAGTCGCATGACGGCCGGTCGTTGGCCCTATCGACGACGAGGTATCTCGTGGAAAAACTTCCGTATACAAAATCGTATTTTCTTGCCTTTCTCAGAATCTTTAAATGAATTTTCATTGATAGAGCATGAAATCCTTGAATTCTATAATTCACGAAATTCACAAATATTTGTCATAATTTTAGATCATTAAGAATTCGTGTCTTATGACAGGTATAAATTCACAAATAGGAAGGTAAAACTACAGCGACAACTTAACATCATGATATTAAGATAAACAATAGCTGTTTGTCATACATTTTGTTGATATTCAAGGTACAGCGATATAGAGATTGGCAGGCAAAGTAATTTTGTGTAATTTCAATAATGAATATTTCATCGTGTATACTCGTCGTCGGACCTTATACATGCAACAAAGTCAAAAGCAAGGAAATCGATTTTCGCTTATGTACAGAAGACGAGATTATCCTGATCGAACATTTACCGGGACGACGGGTGCACCTTCAGGATTTTTTCTGGACCGGCCTGGAAGACGCGCCGCCATGGGTGGATCCCAATCAGGGTTTAACTTTTTACGAGACCAGGACAATCGTTCACACTGTTACTGTTTATACCCCGACCGATGAGAAAGGCCCAGACCCCATATCGCCTCATCGTCCAGATACTTACAATCCGGAATGTGTCACGTGCATAGAACCAACACCCAGATTGGACGACGATGAAGATCAGAGTATCGGAGTTCTTATCGGAGATGATCCAGGCCCAAGGCAAGTGTAATTGATTATTATTATTATTATAGCTCAACATAATGTAATTTTAATATAGAATAAAGAATGTTGCAACAAACAGACTTGACAGCACATATGTGCGACAAAAAGACTTGATAGCACATATTTGTTAAATTAATGCCGCATAGAAATAGGTAATATAAATATTATTTTGCAATGTTTAGAGATAAAACAAAGAGAGGTAAATGTTTATTGACAGGTACTGGCTGTTGACGGTTCTTCGACCAGGCGAGGCCGTACCACCTAAAGTTGAGCTTCGTTTAGCTCGCTTGTATCGAGCCGCGTTTTCCAGACAGCAGCAACGGCATCTCGGTCTTTTGTCGACGGATCCACGATCCCGAAGAGATGCATTGCTACGCGATTTTCTTAACCGAAAGGTAAAAACGTTTGGATGGTATGCGTTTAGATGCCAATTCTTTTTATATCATTTCCTTAGCTTATTTTCTTTAATACATACAGAACATGCAAGAACGTTTTGGAACTTCGTCCCAAGTGAGAATTTCGCAAGAAGAGATTCCCGCAAATTCAACCGAAGTTCAACAATCCGAATTGACTATCGGTACCGTCGAAAGTTCTTCGATTTATACAAAAACCGAAGCGAGCGTCCCAACCTTAGTCGACGATAAACACTTTTTGAATGTTTCACAAATGAAATCCATGAGAATGATCGAAATTCCCAAGCCGAAAAAGTTGCTGCCGATGTTCGACATGGATGCGACGAGCGACATGGATGCGACGAGCGATTATGAAAAACCTATAAAAGATGATTTTGCTCTAAGGAAAATCATAAAAACATTGAAAGGAGAAACAAAATCCTTGTCTACGCAGAACGATGAATCTGCAACCATTCATCCAACCTATCCTGTTGGAACTGGGATTCCCGATTTCCCGCCGAGCGAACAATCCCCGCCGGAATTGATGCCAATTCCCTCGGATTCGTCTGATCCAAAATTGAATTCCGATAGCATCCCCAAAAGCCGAGCTAGCGATAATGCGAGTGCAGATATGCGCTCCAGATTGCGTTTAGCGGACGGCTCGATTCCGGGGGTCGTAAAAGTCAGGATGCAGAATACGAGCGTTATCGAGGGTGGCGCGACGAGACTGATCTATTCGGTTCATCTCGACGGTAAGCCCGTTCCTGCTGAAACGGCCGCGAGAGACATGGCACTTCTCTCACCCCAGGAAGTCGCTCTGGAACTCGGTGCTCCGGTGATTATTCAAAGCGAGCGTAAGTAAACGATAATCTTATCAGGAAGGATCTCTTTATTAAATTTTGAATGTGCAAGTATATGAAAGTTGTGTCATTTTCTTTTAGCCTATCTGAAGGAGAGTAGACCTCTGGCTCTATCGAGAAGAAGAGACGCGTGGCTATTGGTTGGTGCTGCTGGTGCAGGTTTTGTTTTATTAATCTTGGTTCTCACCGGCTTAATTTTGGTTGCTAAAAGAAAAAGGGCGCACAGCGCTGTCGTTGCACCACCGAACAAAAGTATTCTTAAGAAGGAACGTGAATATGCAGCCGCTTCGTCCGGTCTCGATAACACTGCGTTTTCAACGTCGGAAACAGAGATTAAAGTACGTAATACAATTTCTGTTTTAGTCACGGTAAAAAAACAATTTTTTTCATGTAAGTTGATTACGCAACTCAGTTGATTTGAATATCTGTTATATGCAGAGTATTTAATAATTAACGCCCAAATATATATCTGCTAAATTGCATCGTGTGGGAATTGTGGAAAGGAATACTTTATAATTTTTAAAGTTCTTTCTTCTCTTGCGTGATAAAGTTTACGGGGTACTATGGGGAAATAAAAGCATTAAAACCGTTACAACACGCGAATGATCAACGAAATGACGTCGGGAATTATGAGGGAGGACAATTCGGTTCTATGATACCAGGACGATATCGATTCTAACGAAATATTACTCCCACTTCGTCGAGCAAATTGTTACTCTTTGGATCGCGTAACTTTCTATACGGCCCTACCCTTGTTTGCAGACCGACGGTACCAGTCAGCGACAAACTCCGCGGACTTTATCCCGAACTCCAATCACACCCGACACGCCCGACAGTCTGGAATTAGGTGTTCATGAAGTTTCCAGCGACGACGACGAAGAACTAAAGAAGACTCGCGGATCGGTTCCTTGGAATATCCAAGAACACGCGGCTAAGAAAGCTAGGTGATCCACAATATTCTTTGTAATTCCATCAAGAGCAAATTATTAAAACGCTAAAATATGTGATTGTGAAGAAAATTAATAATAATATTAATAATAATCTAGTAATATTAATTCATACAACACAAACTTTGCAGCTATATTGCAGCAATGTTGCTGC